GAATTTAGCCAGTGTATGTACATGTACATATGTGCATGAGCATGTACATGGCAGGGACATGCTTTAAAAATATATATACTGGATCTTCTGATTCATTTGGATCCCTATAAATGCTTATGTTTTTGTTAGGAGCATAAGGCACAGTACTTGCTGAACTGATCAAGTGTCAGATGCAGCCCTCGGGCTAGGAAATCCATCACTGTGCCCACTTCTCTAGCAGCAGCTGAGGAGTCTCAGACTTCTGGGGATGGAAAACCCAGTGCTTATTCACCTACATAGCAGAAGGTAAATCATTCCTTTTTTCCCTCTGTGATTTTTATTTATTTATTTTTGACATATTTGTGTATATTTTACATGTGATATTCTGATATACATATATAGAGAGAGAAATGATTACCACAATGAAACTTATTAACATATCCATAATCTCCCATGGTTTCTTTTGTTTGTCTGTCATGAGAATACCTGAGATCTTGCCTCTCTTAGCAATTTTCAAGTATGTATTATTATTAACTATAGCCACCATGCTGTACATTGGAACTTATTCATCTTATAACTGAAAGTTTGTGCATTTGATCATTACCTTTCTCTTCCCCCGACCCCCTACCCTCAAGTAACCACTATTCTACTTCATTATCATAAGTGCAAACATTTTTTTAGATTCCACATATAAGATTATGTGATATTTATCTTTCTGCATCTGACTTATTTCACTTAGTGTAATGTCTTCCAGATTCATGTATGTTGTCGCAAATGACATGACCTTCTTTTTTAAAGTTGAGTAATACTGCACTGTGTGTGCGTGCACCTATATCTATCTATATCTATATCTATATCTACGTCTGTCTATAGTCTGTCCAGAAGGTATGCAGCCATATAACATGAATAATAGAGACATTTATTGAAAAAGATAATAAGAAACATTGTACATAGGACAATGATGCCTCAGTCCCCTTTGAAGTAGGCACCTTGCGGCCTCACACAGTTCTCCCAATTGCCATCAGCTGCCCTGTTGTATTTTCCTGAATCTCATCAACGGTCTGAAATCTCTTCCCTTTCAAAGGTTATTTTAGTTTGGGGAAAAGCTAGAAGCTAAATATGGGCAGTAGGGAGGCTGAGTCACCTGGGTGATTTGTTGTTTCACCAAATAGCTCTGCATGAGACATGATGCATGAACAGGCATGTTGTGATAAAGCTACCAATCACCAGTTGCCATAGCTGTGGCCTTCTGAATCATCTGAATAGTTTCTGTAGAGGAATGTTTAAGCTTATTGCAAAATTTGATGCAGATTCATTGCTCTATTCACTCGGTCATTTTGAATGTGATGGCCACACAATACACATATTCACTCAACAGCGTCTACCACCCCCACTGACTAGTACAGTGAAGTCATCATTGTTCATGTATGCGTATTCCAGTCCACGCTCCTTGGCTGCCAGGTGACATCGATGTCATGCAAACCATTCTTCTTATATTAGCAATGGTTGAACTGTTTCCAGACATATGTATCTCACAACTTCTTTATCCATTCATCTGTCAACAGTCACTTCTGATGTGTTTACATCTTGTCTATTGTGAATAGTGCTGCAGTGAATACAGGAGTGCAGATATCTCTTTAGTACTCTATTTTCTCTTCACTTGGCTATATACCCAGAAATGGGATTGCAGGGTCGTATGGTAGTTCTAGTTTTCATTTTTTGAGGAAACTCCATACTGTTTTCCATAATAGCTGTAGTAATTTATATTCCCACTAAAGTACACAAGGGTTCCCTTGCCACACACATCATCTTTTGACTTTTTGATAATAATCATTTTAACAGCTGTGAGGTGGCATATCATTGTGGTTTTGACTTGCATTTCCCTGATGATTAGTGATGTTGAGCATCTTTTCACACATCTATTGGCCATTTTTATGTCTCCTTTGGAAAAATGTCTATTCAAGTCCTTATTTAAAAATTCTTCTTCTTCTTTTTTGCTATTGAATTGTATGAGTTCCTTATATCTTCTGGATATTAATGACATGCATCATTACTACCAGGGCTTGTTCAAGGGTGTCTGTTTCATCCCAGAACTCTTCCACTGGTATGAAGAACCCACTCATGGGCTCAGATGCACAACTTTCATGGTGTCCACCCAACTTAGGGCATGTAATTTCTTATAAAGTGTAGAACTGCATTACCTTCTATAGTGGGGATAGCTTGAAACTGGCTTTACTGTACAATCTTGTTCTTCCGTTTACTCATCCTTAATTGAGAGAGGAATATCTGATAGGTATCAATGGTTACAAAGTGCTTCTACTGATTCTATCAGGACATTTGGGTACTTTCCACATAAATATGATATTCTACCACCCAAAGGATTTATTACAGTTTGTAATCCAGTCTATCTGAGTCTGAGAGGTTAACATTTTAGTCAATGTTCTTAAGTCACTGAATCCAATTATAAGAACAAAGATGAGAAGTCATTCTGAGACCTCAAAGAAAGAAATCAATATCTATTTCAGTTTTCAAAATGGTAAGATCCTGTTTTCACACAATAAGGGTTTTTTTTCTCCCTATACAACAATTCAAAGTGCAATTACACATCTGGAGAGATGAGTACACTTAAAAGCTGAAAGGACTAACACTGAAATACATAGTTTTTATGTATTTAAAAAAATATCAAGGTTACCCTGTAATTTAACACCTATCCTGTTTTCTAAGAAAATAAATGTACTATCAGATCCAGTAAAACTTTCTGTGGAAAATTTTTTGGAGGCCAGAAGCAAAATTAGAGAATGACAATATTCATTCCATAGCTGAAGGAAACAGAAGCTGCCACCGAGAAGAAACTCAGGCTGAGCTGAAGCTATGACAGTTTGAGAAGACACAGAATTGAGCAAATTGACTTTATTTTTCCAGGAGGTCTAAATGGAAACCAAAAAAAAGCACTCTCCTTTTTCTACATCCTATTCCAAGAATTAAAATGGACTCTAGCATTTAGCTATACTTAAAAGAGAATGGAAACTATGAGGCATAGGGAAAACTGCCCCTGAATAAGAGTCAGGGGCCCTGGGCTCCAGTTTCATTTTGGTCAATTGTCAATATAGGACATGCTACTTTCCCTTGCTGAGATAGTAATACCCATGGTAGTGATAGTGGCAGTAGTAAAAGCAGCAGCAGGAGCAGCAGCAGTAGTTACAGCTGCAGGAGCAGTAGTGGTAGTAGCAGCAAGGACAGTAATAGCATCAATAGTAGTAATGAGAGTAGCAGCAGCAGCATTAGTGTTAAGTAGTAGCAGCACTAGTAGCAGCATGGCAATTATAGTAGCAGCAGCAGCAACAGAAGTTGTAACAGCTGTAGTAGCAAGAGCAGTAGCAGAAGTTTCTGTTTATCGAGGGTCTACTGTCAGGCACTTGACTAGGAACTATGCAAACATTATTTCATTTAAACTCCATGGTGACCTTCCAGTGTAGGTATTATTTCCTCCGCATTTAACTGTGGAGGAAACTGAGAACCAGAACAGTTAAGTAAATTGCTCAAGGCCACGTTGTAGTTAGTAAACCATCTGGATTTTAAATCTGGATATATCTGGTTCCAAAGTCTTGCCACATTTTTCTTGGGAAACATTGTGGTATGGAGCAGTGCTTCTCAAACTTTAATGTGTTTATGAACCATTTGGAGATCTTGTAAAAATGGAGATTCTGATGCAGTTGGTCTGGTGAGGTACCTAAGATCCTGCTTTCCTAACAAGCTCCCAGGTGATGCAGCTGGTTCTAGGAAGCACACTTTGACTAGAAAGAGGATAGTGGAAAGAAAGTACGCTTTCCAGTCCAAATGTGTGGCCTCGGTTTACTCATTGGTAGCACAAAGGGGTTGGATAAAATGAGTTTTATGGTGCATTCCAGCTCTGAACTCTTATATTCAGGGTATACTATGATATTAAGAAACCAGATCACACAGGAATGACTTTTAGCCACATGAATTTTAAAACTGGTTTCAGATGAGATTCTGACTGTGATTTATGTATCTTTCTGCAGCATCTCTGACAGGTGGGATCAGACACCCTCACTCAAATTATATTATTGTTAAGCTTTAGGCTGAGCTAAATCTTACTGAAAGAGTTCAAAGCACTTCTTTCCATAAGCGTCTTTAAAGATTATAAATGTAAAAATAGTTTCTTATGAGACGCTTAGATGGCAGGGTTTTTCTTTTTCATAGCAGAAATGAGAAGTCTCCAAAACCACAATGGTAGCACAATCCATAAAAATATGTTAATGCTTCTTTTTAAAGTCTTACAGAAACTGAGGTTTTCTGAGTTAACAAAATAGACTTCATCACAGATGGTCTGAATGATAAAAGGAACCAGCACACTAGGGTAGCGAAACTAAAAACACTGCTCTTAGCTAGCATGCTGAAAGCCTTTAAGGAACTCTTACTACATATAGCTCTGCTGAGTGTTGAAGGGAAAACAGTTTTGATTGTCAATGACACTTCAAATGCTTTAGGCAAAGCTCAGGATCGTATGATGTGCAAGTTTTATGAAGAAGCCATTTCTAATTAAAATGAATGCCCTTATTAAGGTGCATTTTCTCATTATCCTGTGCCTAGCACAGGACACTGGCACCAAGGAAAGTGGTTTTTGCTCCCTTCCAAGAGCCAAGAGAGGTGCCATGCGCTCCTTTTCCTGAACTCAAACAAGGGTAGCTGTAGGAATACAGCATAGTCTATAGTCTATGAGTCTCTGAGTTAAACAGTATTTCCCAATGGTGAGGACTGTAAAAACCAGAAGTGGTACCCTTTATTGAGGGCTTTAGAAATCAGATATAAATACATGTCCACCTGGAATGGCCTAGATATACTTGTGTCTAAAGGTCAGGGGAGACTTGATGTCACAATGTTTTTTATGATCCACAAAGGTGGTCCATATTTATTTAGCCAACTCTCAGTTACCCATGGCAGTGATAGTTAAACTTTTTTTTTATTTCAAGTTTTTAATTAAAGCTGTATATAAGATTACATTATTCATGCATCTTCTCAATGGTTTCTTCCTTGTTTTTACACTTTTCCTTTCCTACTTGGTGAGATTTGGCTTTACGTTCTAGAGTCTTTTTGTGGTCTTTGTCCAGTTTTAGTCTAGTGATAACCACCTTGCTGGGGCGAATGCCCACATGAACAGTTGCACCATTAGCTTTCTCCTGCTGCACTTGTTCGGTGTAGATGACATACTTCTTCCTGTAAACCTGGACTACTTTGCCAATTTGCTGCCTTTTGTAATATCTTTACACAACCTGATCTTCATCATCCTTTCAGGTGGGCATGGATCGAACATTGTACTTCTGTCTCAGCTCTTTGGAAAGAGGAGAAGACATAATCTTCCTGCAAATGTGGGAAGGTGCATTGAAATGCCTCTTATGGTTCTTGCTCCAGTCAGAAGTCACAAAGGGATTGAACTTCAGTTTGACCGCTGGCGCCTCAGCGATGGCACAAAAGGGAAGAGGACAGTTAAACTTTTTAAAGAAGTGGAGACACACTTTTCTAACTATTTTTTTAATAATCCCCAAATGTAAAATAGATAGCCATGGTGCTGCATTACTCCATTTAAAGTTCGTGGGAAAGGGTAGTCCTTAGACCCTGCTATGGTCACCACAGGTTATGTCCCAACTGTCTTTGCTGTTTAACAAGCCACCCCAGACCTTAGTGGCTCAAAACAAAACTTTGCTATCTCTCATAGTTCTGTGGGTTGATGAGGCTCAGCCCACTTTAGGAGTTCTTGCTTGGGGACTCTCAAGCAGTTATAGTCACGAAGTCCTCTGAAGGTTCTGCTGGACTGGATATCCAGAATGATTCCTTTACTTCCTTGTCCAGAGCATCAGCACTTCTTGATTTCTCTCTGTCTCATGTGTCATCTCATCCTCCAGAGCCTTTCAGTGTGGTTTGGAATTCTCATTGGATGATTTGTGGATAGTCACACCTCTTACATAGCAAGTGTATTCTAAGAGGCAGGAATAGAAACTGCTGGGCCAGTTATTGGCTAAGCCCAGAACTGATGTGACCACTGTATACTACTGTCAAAGCAATCACAGGGCCTTCCCAAATCAAGGGAGTAGAGAAATAGTGACTTCTTGATTGGAAGGTAGCAATGTCACACTATAGAAGTGCATGTGAGATGGGAGATATTGTTACAGCCACCTTTGGGAAATGCCATCTGCCACAGTTAAAAGGCACAATGGTAATAAGGATCTGAGATGATATGGAGAAATAAAATTTATAAATAATTTTAGGATCTTCTTAAAATCCTTTTTAGAGATTTTAATTGTGATCTTGTACAAAATTGAAAATAGTAAGTTTGGTTTTATTTCTGGATCTTCTTGACTGGAAGAGATATTAATGTGATATCTCAATAAAAAATGCTGTAAGTTACTTATTTAGTGGGAGTGGTGTGGAAAAGAGAAGGTAAGGATATTAATCATGTCCAAACATAGCCAATCCTTCCCTTCCATATTTTTAATATCACAAAAAGTGGGGCAGACATGATACGGCCCCAGAACACCCAGGGTTAGAGAGACAGAAAACTAAACCAATGTGTAGCCATTCCTGTTACCAGTAAAACAGTTAGCCAGCATTTAATAGAGCATTTTGGAAGCAAGGGAAGTCTTCCCTAGAAAACAACTGGTGAAACTATACTTTGAGGAATGAATAGGAAAAATCTATAAACTTGCCATTAGAAATAAGAGTCCTTAAAAGAGAATCCCAGCCTAAGAAGTTGAGACACGAGGACTTCTAAAATCTAGAAGAACCAGAATGGTTCTGGAACCACACTGATTAGGGATTTCCCTCACTTCCTTAGGCAATAGGAAGGCAAATAGATAACAGAATCCACAATAAATAATATATTAAATACAACATAGTCTTTACTATATTAAATTACATGATAGAATACTTAAACATTAAAATTATTTCAGAATGAGGATTCAGTTTTCTCAATAAATCCATTGGTTATCTTCATAAATTCCAAAATTTAAGAGCACTTTCAGGTTTTAGTTATTCAATACTTGAGCTGAATTCATAGTAATTGAGTATTATGGTCAAAATTCTTATGTCCAGATTGGACAAAATCTTTCACAATTCCTTCTCAAGGTTTATTTATGTATAGATGTGGCACATCTTGCTTTAACACGTCCATGAGAATGATGGAAAAAGAGTTCAGAATAATCTGATAACCAGTTTGGGCCCTATGAACTACCTTTATTGCCCCAGCTGGAGGGACTAGTTTATACATATCTAAAGACTAACTATGGATTAGAAAAGCAAGTTTAATATATTTTATTACCTAGGGAAAATATCTCCTAGAAATTGCTCAAATCATTATTGGCAAAGTCTCCTATAACCAGGACAGAATTTTCAGGGAATGATTCTCAAAGAGAAAAACAAGTCCAATAGATACAAATATCATGTAGATTGTGTGTGTGTGTGTGTGTGTGTGTGTGTGTGTGTGTGTGCAGGGAGCTATTGGTGGTGAGGCATTGATGAGGAAGGACTCAACAACACCTGAGAGAAAAAGGGAGAAAACTAATTGAGCTTTGAAAAAAAATCCCCATCAGTACCTTAAAAAAAAGTTTTTGGTAAGCAGAAAACAAACAAGCAAAACAAACAAGAAACCATACACAGATAACAATATAGTGATTACCAAAGAGAATGGGGGTGGGGGAGGTAGAAAAGGGTCTGGGGGAGATAAATGGTGAAGAAAGAAGACTAGACTTGGGGTGGTGAATGCACAATATAACTTACAGATGATATATTTTGGAATTGTACACCTTATACCTATATGATTTTATTAACCAATGTCACACCAGTAACTTCAATTTAAAAAGTTTTTCGTTTGCAGGAGTTTTATACATAAAATTTGTTTTGAATTTGTTTTCAGTGTTCTACAATCACTTTATTGCAAGATAATTCTTAATAGTCTGTCTTCCTCTCCAGTTTTTCCCCACTAAACTCCATTTTACCAACCCCCACTCCATGCTAAAGTATGTGGGATGATACTCACTTCCTTAAATATGTTATACTCTTTCATACCTTCACACCTGTGCCTTGAGGGCCCTTCCATGCCCTCCTTCCTTCCTTCCTTTCTTCTTTTTTGAGTATACTTTCTTTGATCACCAAACATCTACTACTCATCTTTTAAGAATCAACTCAAATATAACTTTCCCTAACCCTAACCCTTGAATTTTACCCCTACCCCTGCTAGGGACCATTGACCATTCCTCCTTGGTAATCTCTGTTAATTTGAGTGTATTTCCATATTAAAATTACCCATGTCATTCCTTCCTTTTAATTTAAATGCTCATTTCCTCATACAAAGAGGTAAACATTTTAAGAGCAGCTCCATAGTTTCTTTTAGAGACCCAGGACTCCAGCTTTTCATTCAATTGTGTAAGAGTTCTCAACTCCTTCCAACAAATTCTACTTTTGTGCTCAAGTTAGTGAAAGGTCATTTCTATTAGGTATAGCCACAGAGCCCTACCATTTGCAGGAATATACTGAAACTGAGCAAATGTCTGAGCAAAATGAACTCAGGAAGCTTAGAGCACAGATAAAGGAAACCCAAAAAGTAGGATATCGGCAGTATTTGTCCAGCACTCTTCAGAGGAGAGCACGCATCCTCTGAGGACTCACACAGGCTAGTGACTAGAAAGGTATTCTCTATTCTGGGTCAAGGATAATTCTTCAAATCTCATCATGGCCTCGAGGATATTACTTCTAAGACCATCCTCCACTTTTTCCTCTGATTCCATGCTTGTCAGCCAACCTCATAACCACAAATTCAATTCTCGGTGTATTATGATATCAGGAAGGAAATATATAAACGTGTAAGTGAATAACACTATATAGCAATCTCTTGACATTTGGGCAGCCCAAATCAGTTGTCTCAGTCTGATGAAGGAAATTATAGAGTCTTCACAAACTTGAGTTTCTCAGTCTGCAAGACTAATGCTGGCCTGAGGTGACCTCACCAAGGTTGTATGACCCTTTAGGGCTTAGCAGGGATCCCACTGTTTTCCCAGATTATACTCTTCTTTACTGCACTTCATTCAGTACAACATAATAATGTGCTAGTGGTGTGTAAATTTCCAAGGTCCAAATTCTTTGGTACATGTAGGTTTAGATGGTAAGTAAAACCTAATGAATTCTGATCACTGACTCTAATTAGAAAGGTGAGAGTTCAGTTCTATTTCTGTGTAATACAAGGGTGTGTTAAAAATATACTGTAGCCCTGGCTGGTGTGGCTCCATAGATTGAGTGCTGGCCTGTAAACCAAAGGGTCACCAGTTCAATTCCCAATCAGGGCACATGTCTAGGTTGTGGGCCAGGTTCCTGGTAGCAGGTGCGAGAGAGGCAACCACACACTGATGTTTCTCTCCCTCTCTTTCTCCTTCACTTCCCCTCTCTCTATAAATAAATAAATAAAACCTTTTTAAAAAAGAAAATTGATACTGTAAAGCAATAGTTCTGTTTTTCTTTTCTGTGACATAGAATAATGATGTTGGCATAAACCACAGTTTCATGTGTGTTTCCTACCTTCATCTCTGGAACCCCTCTCCTCTTTTCGCTCAAGAAAGCATATTGAAATGCAGATTCATGGTCATGGTACTATTGTGATAACCTTGAATCTTCTCTGGTTTATTTTTAAAAGTAAATAATTTCAAAATTTGATACTTTTACTATAGTTGGTATTAGGTTACTTGTAATACATCAATGTGTCCTATTGAGACCTGCTGATGTAAATATTGAAAGGAAAATGTTTAAGCTAATTATTAACTAAGTTGTTTATAAAAATTAACTGAGTTGTTTATAGAATTAAGGTGCCATTTTTACTTTTTCTTGTCAGTGCCAGCAGAAGGGGTACCACAATCTGGTATTGCTGAGAGCTTGAACTGAAGTAACTGTCCATGCTGGAAGGCAAAAAACTCACTTCCATTACCTAGAAGTTGTTTGTCTTGTGTTCATGTTACAAATTCAGGCTGCCCTTCCTAATGAGGTTAAATAAATAAAACTTTACCAAATAATAAAGGTTTCAAGGAAACACAAGTCACTTGACACTGATGTTCTTTCCATTTAGAGATTTAAAGGGGTTCAGAACAGGCCTCCCCAAGATGTGCCACTTTGACATATAAATTGTTTTTAGCTGAAGGCAATTGCGACCCTGAGGGTTCAAGAGATCCTTTTACCTTCCCTTAAAGAATTTAAATTAGAGGCCTTGCCCATAATAAGACTTATCACAGGAAATGACTTCTAATAACTGAACTTCTGCTCTTCTTATCCTATGAATGACCTCTTCCCCTCTACAAGGGGAACCAGTACAAGGTGCCTTACTCCATCCTTAGCTCAGATAGACCTCATCTATCTGTCACATAGACCTCATTTTTCCTGTTTCTGACCCTCCCATGTATGTGGGTTTCTACACTATGAATGTAATTAAATTTGGTCATTTCCTCTTGTTACTCTGTCTCATGCAGATTTAATCATTAGAGCAGCCGAAAGAACCTAGAAGAGGGAAGGAAAGTTTCTTTCCTCCTGCCTCACAGATTGTTGGTTTAGATTCCTCAACTTCACAATGCTTAATCCATGGCTGCTGATTGAATACTATGGGAGGCTGTTAATACATTCTTAGGCTACTTGGGGATTTATCTAGTACTTCACCTGCAATTTTTGCCTCGAGAATAATAGATCTATCTGTGTAGAACTTATACAAGCACATGATACTTAATGAAAGATCATAATGAAATGTTTTTCATGCTAGTGTCACACAGAATAAATGTGAGTTAGACTTTAAAGTTTGGGGTAATATGCTGTGCTGTTTATAGCTTGTATTGATGGCTTGGGTACAGCAGGATCTCTTAAAAAATGCAGCCATGAGCCTGCATCCTGCATGCATGGAATTGCTTAGGAACAGTGCAATGAATTAAAGATGGCATAGCTCTCTTTGCTTAACATTTCCTATTTTTCAGGGGTTTGTTTTGCAACTTTCATAGTATTAATCTACAGAACCCTTTACTTTTTATTCAGAATTTATATCAGAATCAAGCTAATAAATTAAAGATGAGTTAGTTCATTGTTGGGTGGTTTAACATAGACCTAGTATGTTAATCCTGATGTGCTTGTTACTAGGGTTTTAAAATTTTTATTATTATTATTATTTCTGCCTTCTAGCTGTGGTTAGGCAGCAGCAATAAATCAGGACAAAGGAATGAAGGTATTGGGGCTTTAGGGAAAACATGTGTATTAGAAAAAAATTGGTTTGGCACTAAGGGCTGTATTGCATTAAGATGAATTTTAGAGATTCGGAGGTAAGAGAATGTAGACAAATAAATTGTATAAATAATCTAAGAAATAGCAGGTCTGCACAGACCCAGAGTAGCCCTGTAAGCTACCATCAACAGGACTTCCTAATTCCTGTCCAAACAAACTAAACAGGTACATACTACTTAAACAAATAGCCAGGGGAAATGGGCACATGCCTAATGCTAGGGGAAGTGGGAGGAATGGATAAAGCTCTTTAAAATAGCCCAAAGGTTTGGAATAATAGAAGTCAGTGTAGGAGTCTGACATAGCATCTTCTGTGAATAGGGCTTTATTGCCACTCTAGGCACTGATATTGCAGACACATGCTAAGACAGCCAGAAACTGTGAGCCTCACAGAGCATCTCATGCCTGAGAATGTGGTTCTGCACAGTAGGGAATTCACATTGGCAGCCTGAATGCTGAGGAGACAGGAAAGAGCATTCAGATAAGGTTGAGCATATAAGCAAAAGACATGATGTGGAAGGTGAAGCTGATGAGAATGAGATAGGGCCATCCCAGGGCTTTAAGGAAGGGAAAGGGTACCAGAAAGTACAGAAAAAAGTAGCGAGAGCAAAAGGGACTTTTCCTAGTAGCCTAAATGGTATCTAAACTGAGAGATCCTTATATTCTGGAACAGATTTTATTTTCAACTAAAGCATAAAACCTCTGTAGATGTGGAGAGGCAGCTTGCTTGAAACCCTGAACTTGCTCAGACATACAGTATCTGCTTTGTGTCTGGTTCTTTAATCTGAGTTGGTCCAGGTGGCATCACTGTGCAGGGAGCAAACCTTGTCCCCATTATTTTCTTTGATGCTCACCTAGACCTCTTTCCTGTTTGTTCATTGGACCAGCTATTCCCTGGACCTGCATCCTATCACTTAGGTCTGCTTTAGGCCCTGCTCCTCATTGGACCCTTCTACTCTACTTTACTGACCTTTCTTCTCTTACACTTTTTAATTCACTCTCCCTCTGCTTCCCCAGCAAGATATATTTAACAGGATGTGACTGCCAAACCACTGGTGGTTATTCCAAGATAATAGTAATCATAATAACCATGCTGTACCATACAGCCTGGCTGAGTTCTGTACATTGTCGTTTAAAACTGGGCATATTTCTTTAGCATCACGGGTTTGCAATAGTCAAGAGCCCCAATGCAGGTAGAGTTTACTACTTTTTCCATCCCCTTTCTTCCTCTCTCATTCAAGTAAGAATAATATTTGAATATATAGATCCTGACTTCAAAGAACTTACAAACTGATATAAATGATTAAATATAAATGTTAGATACTTGATAAGTAAATAATTGTTTAAAATAGTAAAGGAAGGTTTCAGCCAAGATGGAGGCATAGGCTTCACTTCCTCACACAACCAAAAGAAGGATAACAACCAAATTAAAAACAAAAATCAACTACAACTGCCAGAAACTCAAACGGCCAGCAACCAAGAAGTTAAAGAAATAGTCATCCAGACTGGTAGGAGGGTCGGAGACAGGGGCAGAGAGGACACAACAGGGCAAGGCAGCAGACCATGCCGGCGATCCCATGTCTCACACGGATAAGGTGGGAGGAACAAACAGGGAGCAAGACAGACAGTGCAACCCAGGGTTTCAGCACAGGAAACTAAGACCCCAAACCTCTGGCTGTAAAAATCCGGGGGAGGGGTGTTGTGGTGGTGAAAGAAACTCCCAGCCATACAGGAGAGTTCATTGGAGATACCCATAGGGTCCCAGAACATACACAAACCCACCTGGGAAGTGAGAGAAGTGACAGAAAGTGGTCAGGAGGTGAGCAAGCAGCATTGTTCCCTCTCTGACCCCTCCCTCATAGACAGTGCCACAACACATAGAAGTGGGTTTCTCCACCCTGTCAAACACCTAAGGCTCCACCACTTACAATGTAACAGGTGTGCGGAGACAAAGAGATATGGCCCAAATGAAAGAACAGATGAAAACTCCAGAAAAAGAACTAAACAACGAGGAGATAGCCAACCTTACTGAGTCATAGTTCAAAACACTGGTAATCAGAATGCTCACAGAATTGATCAAGCTTGGTCACAAATTGAAGGAAGAAATGAAGACTATACAAAGAAAATATACAGGAACCAACATTGAAGAGAAGGAAACTGGGACGCAGATCAATGATTTGGAACAAAAGGAAGAAATAAATACCCAATTGGAACACAATGAAGAAACAAGAATTCAAAAAACTGAGGAGAAACTTAGAAACCTCTGGGACAACTTTAAATGTTCCAACATCTGAATCATAGGGGTGCCAGAAGGAAGAGAGGAAGAGCAAGAAATTGAAAACTTATTTGAACAAATAATAAAGGATAATTTCCCCAATCTGGTGAAAGAAATAGACTTCCAGGAAGTCCAGAAAGCCCAGAGAGTCCCCCAAAAATTGAACCCATGAAGGAACACACCAAGTCACATCATAATTAAGTTACCCAAGATTAAAGATAAGGAGAGAATCTTAAAAGCAGCAAAAGAAAATGAGACAGTCACCTACAAATAAGTTCCCTTAAGGATATCAGCTGATTTCACAAAAGAAACCTTATAGGCAAGAAGGTGCTGAAAAGAAGTATTTCAAGTCATGAAAGGCAAGTACCTACAACCAAGATTACTTTATCCAGCAAAGCTATCATTTAGAATGGAAGGGTAGATAAAGTGCTTCTCAGGTAAAGTCAAGTTAAAGGAGTTTATCATCACCAAATCCTTATTATATGAAATGTGAAAGGGACTTATCTAAGAAAAATAAGATCAAAACTATCAACAGTAAAGTAACAACAAACTCACAACTATCAACAACTGAACCTAAAAAAAAAAAAACAAAAACTAAGCAAACAACTAGAACAGGAACAGAATCACAGAAATGGAGATCACATGGAGGGTTTTCAGTAGAGAGAGGGAGAATGGGGAGAAAAGGTACAGGGAATAAGAAGCATAATAGGTACACACAAAATAGGCAGGAGAGGTTAAGAATAGTATACGTAATGGAGAAGCCAAAGAACTTCTGTGTACAACCCATGGACATGAACTAAGGGAAGTGAGGGGAGAATGCTGCAGGGGGAATGTGCAGGGAGGATTGGGATAAAGAGGAGAAAAAAACTGGGACAACTGTAATAGCATAATCAATAAAATATACTATAAAAAACAAAAATAGTAAAGGCAAGAGCCACAAGTCAGCACATGGTTACTTGGCAAATTAATGGGTACAAAATGGTACAAAAATGGTACAAAAATTTAGAAGCAGGAGAGAGAAGCTACTGGGGTGAGAATGGTGGGGGGCAGGGTGGGAGCAGGAACCCGTCAGGCTCATTAGTCAGGGAGTTGAAGGTTTAGACTTGAGCTCTTATGGAATATCCAGCATTCTAGTTGAGACAAGGGAAAAGAAAAAGAGGGCATTTTACAGCTTGGGTACCAATGAGCAGCTGACAAGAAAGAATGTGGACAGATAAACCTCATGCTTTACATTTAACTTTGACTGCAACCTTTTATATATCTTTCTGTGAAGACACGTGTATTTCCATGATCTTGAAACACGATCTTGGTGAACCTAAAATTTGACAAGTTGTTTCTCGGGAAAACAAGTGAAATGTGAATTGAGAGGA